TAAAATATCGATTTGACGCTTGCGATAAATTTCGAGATGAGTAACGAAACAAGATTTAAAAAAAAAATGGAGGTTTTATCGAAATTATTACTAGGGATGGCATAAAAGCAGTACCCCCCTGCGTTTGGGTGTAAACACAGACCTCAAATTCTGTGTTTTATAAGTAAATTAAAACAGAAACTTGTCAGTGGGTGTGCGTGATGCCACGGAGCGGTCGCTTTCTTACAGTAATGGATATTTTGGTTTTTACCACCATTTTTCTCCTTCCGTTGACGCATGCGCATATACCAAATCTAATCCGGGCGGTCCCGATAACCAAAATAATTCTCTTAATTTTTTTTTTTTTTTTTTTTTTTTTATAGTGTATTAGTTGAGTTGTATCGCCGGGATTCATATTCTCCAAAGAAGAGGAGAAAAGAGGAAACAAAAGAATGAATATATATATATATATATATTATATATTCTTTTATTTTATATATATATATATATATATATATATTTCTATTTACACACATCATACACATATATATATATATTCTTTCTTTTATTTCCTATTTTATATATATATATTTTTTATATCACACACACACACACCAAACACACATATATATATATATATATATATATATATATATATATATATATATATATACGTTTTAGGCTTTTTTCTATTTCACACACACACACCCAAAACACACACACACACACACTATACATATATATATATATATATATATATATTCTTTTATTTCTTATTATATATATATATATATATTTCTATTTTACACACACACACATACATATATATATATATTCTTTCTTTTATTTCCTATTTTATATATATATATTTTTCTATTTCACACACACACACAAACACACACACACACACACACACACATATATATATATATATATATATATATATATATATATATATATATACGTTTTAGGCTTGGTTTTGTTTTTCTGTTATTTTTTTACCTTTTTCAGCACTTACATGTACAATGTGTAAAACCATGCAAGAAATTTGCGATTCTCGAAATATCGAAAGTAAAACATTAAAATATTTGAGCGGAAAATCGGTAAATCTATAAAACCAGTTTTTTTTTTTTTTTTTTGAGTAAAAAGAACAAAAAGACAAAAAGAAAAGAAAAGGATAAAGAAAGAAAAAAATCTGTGAAACATTTGAGAAATAGAGTAAAAGTTATGTTCTTGGAGAAAGTCAGGAATAAATACCACGTTTTGTTTTAGGATCATTTCCGAGAAAAATAAAAACGACTGGCCAACTGTATACATGGGGTATATATTCTTAAATGATTTTCCTCTTTACATGACAGATAAATAATATTCCTTCGTCTGATGCGAGGAAAGTTGGATCTCTGTGTCGTGGTAGACAATTCTTTTCCTGCCCGAAATCTATCTATGTAATAAATACGAATGTCTGTGTGTCACAATTTTTCAATTTTACTCCTAGAGGCCGTAGCCTAACATATCATACCATTTTAAAATCAGACTGAATCCGTGAGCAAATTAAAAAATATTCGTGGGCGGATCCAGACCCGCAATCGTGAAATTTTGGATTCTCAATTTTTCATTATTGTAATTGTTTTCAGACGCCGACATCTTGGCTTCTACTGATAAAAACAATTAGAGGGACATAATTCTGTAACTTTCAATAGCTCATGTTCATATGTAAAAATCAGTTCAGTTATGTGCTATGCATGATAGACGCTTAGGCGATCATGTATCTTTCGATACATGACTGACGAGGCAGATTTTTCCCGCAGTAGGTTAGCATTTCTTTCTTTCTAGAAAATCGGCAAATCTATAAAACCAGTTTCTTTTTTTTTTTTTTCATTTGTGTAAAAAGAATAAAAAGAAAGAAAGAAAAGAAAAAAAGATAAAGAAAGAAAAAAAACTGTGATACATTTGAGAAATAAAGTAAAAGTTATGTTCTTGGAGAAAGGCAGGAATAAATAGCACGGTTTGTTTTAGGATCGTTTTTCGGAAAAATAAAAACGACTGACCAACTGTCTACGTGGGGTATATATTCTTAAAGGAATTTCCTCTTTACATAAGAGAAAAATAATATTCCTTCGTCTTCTGCGAGGAAAGTTGGATCTCTGTCTCGTGGTAGACAATTTTTCCCGCCCGAAATCTATCTATATAATAAATACGAATGTCTGTTTGTCACAATTTTCCAATTGTACTTCTAGAGGCCGTAGCCCAACATATCATACCATTTTAGAAACAGGCCGACTCAGTGAGCAAATTCAAAACACTCTGGTTCAGATCCGGACCCGAAATCCTGAAAATTCTTGATTCCCAAATGTTCATCACTGCGATTGTTTTCGGCGATTCTTTTAATGTAATTATTTGCGACGAATTTTTTCTACGATAACAATTTTTATGACTTGGAAATAAATTTGAGTATAATCGAATTTTATGGCGAAATTCAGCGAAAGTCACCCATGAAATAAAAATAATTGTTTGTACGGAAAGTAAGGACCTACGAACATCAAATTGTCTTTAAATTAACTGGCAGCAGAAGAATAAACGTTGAACTTTTAAAAGTTTTTGCTTGAGGATGAAACAGGCCTTGTTACGTTAATTCAATTTAATTTTAATAATTATATTGATGGTTTCGGCTATCGTTTTTGAAACATGAGAACTCTTATGTAGCGAAGGAATCATATTTTTAAAAAAATAATTATATATATATATATATATATATATATATATATATATATATATATATATATATATAATAAATAAACTTAAACACTAATGTTCCATGGTCATAATTTATTCCATTGGAATCGTAAATACGATCCAATTCATCAGACCTACAAATTCAAAAAGAAAACAGAAAAAACAAAACATGGGTATATGTATGTGTGTATGTGAGTACACGCCTATATGTATGTATATACGTGTATATGTTATTGTGTATGTGTGTATTCGCATGTGTTTTTGAACATAAAATATAGGTCCTTGCTAGATTAGATAATCGTTATATTTATTTTTATGTGTGTATTTGATTTGCAACCTGTAGACGATATTAATTTTGTTAAATTTTCTTAATTACACAGCGGCCCTTTCAGTAAATGCCCTTCAGTTTTAGACTAACCTACCTAGGTTTCACCTACGCGGATCGTCAGGGCGGACTGTCGATCCGCGTAGGTGAAATCTAGGTTGGTTTGTCTGGCTCTTTAGGTTTACTTATATATATATATATATATATATATATATATATATATATATAAATGTTGATTAATGCATGGAATAATAATAGAACTCAAAATGTACTTAGAACAAAATGTATTGAAACAAGAAAGTGTACACAATATTTACATATAGTCTTTTGTATATACCTGGTAAGACCGTTCCTGGAGAATGTGTTGACTTAGTCGCAGTCGGGCAGAGTCTCTGGTTGAATCTCTTGATTCCAGTATTTATCTATCCACCCACGAGGATAAAATGTGGCACAAGGCCGGTTTAAAGTGGGTATCTCCGAGCCCGTAGGCTCGGCCAAAAATATGGCCTTTCTGAACCCGCCTAGACGGGTTCAAGGCCTGTCTACCACCCCGGACGAAACACTGCCTCTCGGCAAAGCCTCGTCCGGGTCCCTCACTGCAAAATGCAGAGTGTTCGACTGAGAGTGAATCTCTTGATTCCTCCCTCTCTTCCCGGTACAAAACATATTTATATGGTCGGTACTCCACTATGCAAATTAGGTGGATCCTACTATAACTATATATATATATATATATATATATATATATATATATATATATATATATTAAGACATTTTATGTTTATACATAATGCATTTTTTTATATAGATATAAATATTTAAGTAAATGCTCTGTTTATAATAAACAGTATTAAACAATATTTATCGGCCTGAATTATAAACAGAGCATTTACTTAAATATTTGTATCGATAAAAAAGAATGTATAAGCATAAAATGTCTTAAAATAATTGTCGGACTTTTTGTTCATTTCATATGTATATATATATATATATATATATATATATATATATATATATATATATATATATATGGGCAGTAATCTTTCTATTAAAGATCATCTCTTATTAAATACGGCAGACAAGTGAAATTTTATTAGTTTTTATTTCATTTTCCAGCATCCTCCCGTTTTTCCGTTTTGTAGGGATTAAGGATTACAGAAATTTTCCATAATTGTGATTGTCCAAATCGATTTCGATCGCTTCTTTAGCCATTTTCAATGAAGTTTTGATTTTGGCGTTGTTATAGTTTTTCTTCAGGGTTTTGACTGTTTAAATAAATTTTTGTGTTTTCTTGAATAGAATCTGAGCATACACACACTACAAAACGTTGCTGGAAAAACTATATATATATATATATATATATATATATATATAGGTAACAGCTCTCGTTTCGGAAAACCTTCGTTTTCTTGATTTGCTAATGATCAAATCAGTTTCGAAAGAAAAAAAGATTTTTAAAAAAGAAAGAGCTAGGAACATGATACAGGTCTAAAGCCCAAAGAAAAAAATACCGATACGAGTAATCAACTTTAAGTAATCAAACAGCATTCCCTGACGATCCGCTTAGGTGAAACCTTGGTAGGTTTGTCTGGCTCTCTAGGTTTGACTATATATATATATACATATATATATATATATATATATATATTACCCTACCAATCACGCGATGAATGTTATGATCCTTGTTTTTTTAAATTATAAGCTGTATTAGGTTTTCTTAAATACGCGAGAACTTTTTTACCAAAAACAAAATAATTTCCATGCCTGAAGATGACTGAATGTACAGTCGAAAGTACTTGCGTATTTAAGAAATCTCTATACAGCTTATAATTTAAAAAAAAAAAAAAACAAGCATCATAACATTCATCGAGTGACTAGTAAGTTAATGCATGTTTAAAATTTTGTTAACGAAAGGATTTCGCCATTTTATATCATTAACTAATTTACTTTTTGTATGAATGATTCATTGCAAGATAGATAGATAGATAGATAGATAGATATGTATACGGACTCGAAACATAAGAAAAAGATAAAAATATAATAAAAATTATAATATTTTTATTATAAGAGATTATAATAAAAACAATTTACATCTCCACACAAAAGCTTTCATGTTTCAATACTATGATTGTACTTCATCAGGCGATGGTAGATTACTTGTGATAAAAATAATTTATTAGGGAAATTTAAAAAGAAAACCTTTTTTTTAGAAGTTAAATGTGTGGGGCATAAGAAGTTCTCGTATTTTGAAATAGCTATTCAAATGGGGTAATTTCGAATTTCTATTTATGTGAATTTATTGATTTATATATGGTGTGTTATAATGAATACTTTAAGCTCTGGTCGTTCGTGGTCAGGCTTTCAGCAACACAATGTGAGATCACAGACTAACAGATTAACTAACGAGAAATTCAAACAGATGGACGATGTTGAGATTCTTCGACATCCACTATTCAGTCCCAATGCCACTCCGAATTACTATGGTCCTTCCGCTCAATGAAAAACTTCCTCCTTGATCAGCGGTTCAACACTTTCGATGACGTGAAGGAAGTTTGTTTACATTTTTTTTATTCAAAGCCAGCGGACGGGTATCTGGAACAGATTCAGATCCTGGTTGATCGCTAACAGAGGATCGTAGAGAATGATGGACTTTATCTTGAAGAACAAATGTTGGTGCTGCTCCAAAAATTTTGATGCTTTCTTTCAACCACCTAAGTGAGAGAGAACTTTCTGGCTAACTCAGGAGATAGATAGATAGATAGATATGGACAGACTGAGAACAGAGAAGGAGTGAGAGAAACATATAGATAGATAGATATGAACAGACTGAGAACAGAGAAGGAGTGAGAACAAATAGATAGATAGATAGATAGATAGATATGGAGAGACTGAGAACAGAGGAGTGAGAGGAATAGATAGATAGATAGATAGATAGATAGATAGATAGATAGATATGGACAGACTGAGAACAGACATGGAGTGAGATAGATAGATAGATAGATAGATAGATAGATAGATAGATAGATAGATAGATAGATATGCACAGACTGAGAACAGAGAAGGAATGAGAGGAACAGATAGATAGATAGATAGATAGATAGATAGATAGATAGATAGATAGATAGATAGATAGATAGAAATGCACAGACTGAGAACGGACAAGGAGTGAGATAGATAGATAGATAGATAGATAGATAGATAGATAGATAGATAGATAGATAGATAAAAGACTGAGATAGCTAGCTAGATATTACGTTGGTCAGAAAGTTCTGACTCACTTAGGAAGTGGAAAGAAAACAAATCTTGATCTCTGTCTTGGAGTATTCCCAAAGAGTGTTACATTTCAAGCTTCTTCCACATGGCAGCGGCATCATCGCTGTATGTCCAGCAACTAGACCGCCTGTACGACAAACAACTGAAGGAGTATCCTGCTTTGGTAAATCGTGATCGGGATTTGTTTCAGCAAGACAAACCGAGGACACACACTGAATGGTTGACTGAGAAGAAGTTCAAATTAATGGACGATGTAGACATTCTTCCACATCCACTATTTATCTCCATGATGCCCCGAATGGCTATCGTCTATTCAACTCAATGGAAAACTTTGACCGCCATCAACACTTTGGATGAAGTGAAGGAAGCTTGTTTACACTATTTTGATTCAAAGCCAGCGAACGGGTATCTGGAACAGATTCAGATGCTGACTGATCGCTGGCAGAAGATCATTTGATGAATTAATCTTGGTGTTTCCTCCATAAAATTTTAATGTTTTCTTTCCGTTTCCTAAGCGAGTCAGAACTTTCTGGTGAACCTAATATTTAAAAAAGAAAAAATTGATACTTAATCCTTTATTCAAATAATAATGCTGTATCATTACTACTTCCATACACTTATATTTGTATACCGTGACACTAGTGTGCCTTAGTACGACATTTAAAATTAGTAGTTAACAGTCATTATTCTTGGGGGGTCTTGCTACGTTTTGTTCAGACGCTGATCCGATTGTTATTAATTACATTGATTGATTACCCTTCTAGTGCTTCGAGAGGATTTCATTAAATTTGGTCTAAAGTTCCGTTTAGGATATAAATTTATGAGTCAAGTATGAAATAATTTCTACAGCAATAAAATAAAGTAGAAGACCTCATTGTTTTCTTTCCGCTTATGAGTCAGTCAGAATTTTCGAGTCAACCTAATATATAATTACACACACACACACACACACACACACACACACATATATATATATATATATATATATATATATATATATATAGAGAGAGAGAGAGAGATAATTACAGTAACATTTCTTCTTCGCGTCCATCTTTTTATAAAGCTGTGAATAAAAGAATGTGTTTTCATGTCTATTTCTTTATAATATGATAATAAATATTGCATTGTAGTTTGGACTTGCAGAGCCGAGTTCGAATGCCAATTGGTTTCGCTAAAAACATTTTCGCGAAAATCCCCTTTAGAAAGGTATGAATCCGTCTCTTCTACAAAGTATGGGTTGAATTACAGGGCAGACTGGATCCTATAGCCTTGTTTGGCAACCAGTCTACCGCAGAAAGTAACAACAAACTAATGTAGTTGATTCTCATACTTGTTTTTAATGTCTCTCTCTCTCTCTCTCTCACACACAAACATATATATATATATATATATATATATATATATATTGTCATACACAGACAAACTGTCTCACAGCTCATCAGTGTGGATAGACGTCCGGTTGCCTCTAGCTAGGATCGAAACCTCACTGAATTGGCGTCAGTTAGGGATTCTACAACTAAGCCGTTGGCGCACGGCAGAAATGAAGGTGAATTTAAGCGTATTTATGTTTATATAAACACACTGTGACAGAGAGAGAACTCGATTCGATTTACCAAAGAGTCTTGCATTATTAGCCGTGATAGTCACTATTTACAAACCGACACTTCCTACCCAGAGCGCTCAAACGAAATAAATTTTTCAGGAGCATATATATATATATATATATATATATATATATATACGTCCGCTCAGGTGCATTTCTGTTGTTCAACACTCACACAGCCCATGAGACCCGAGTTCACCATAGTTGATTTATGAGGAAGGAGACTTCTGATATTATCGGATTGGAGTGCCTGAAAACCAATGCCTTGTGAGTGATATTGGGTAGCACAAAGCGACAAGTCTCTGTGGCCGAGAGCTTGAGTGCGCTGGCCTTGTTCAAATTGTTGATCATGCTAGATAACGCGCTCTCTCCCCAAAACTGTAACTAAGGTCTGCTCAGTATAGTTGCAGTATGAACCACAGGTGGATTCTGCGGGTGTTGAGTAAACACAAATGTGCCTGAGCGAGCGTCCGCAATAGAGATTGGCTAGCCACCTTAATAGACGGGTATCCTTGAATACGAGTGGCCAGCTATCATATATATATATATATATATATATATATATATATTTTAGTTGGATAGATGTGAGTTTGTGACCCTGGGTTTCACGACGATCGCTAAAGCGTGAAACCCAGGGTCACAAACTCACATCAATCCAACCAAATATGTTAGCTCTATCTCTAATATTGAGCGCTTTCTAATAAGTACCGCGCATATAATATATAAATAATTATACACATATATATATTTATTTATATTTATATACACTTTACACACACACACACACACACACATATATATATATATATATATATATATATATATATATATATATATAGTCTAAAGGGATCTTTTGACACACTGTTTATTTTGTCTGTCTATATTTTTTTTTATTTTGTTATGGCTTGAATAGCAGGACAGACTGGGTTCTATAGCCTTGGTTGGCAACCAGTCTACCACAGAAAAAACGGCAACTACTGAAGTTTGTAATCGAAATTTTTTAATCTTGGAAATATAAAATTATTTTTGCATATAAACAATCTGTTAGAATAAATAGCGTTTGGTATTTTTATTGTCGATTCTCGAGAAAAAAAAAAATATTTACAAATCCCGTTTCATCTGTTCAGCTTCTTTTTTTTAACTACAAAAATAACTGTTTAAAACCATGAAAACTCCCGTGAGAGTCTACAATAAGCACAATGTCAAGAGAAAAAAAAACCTCCTTTTGTTACATCATTTTTTTTTATTTTTTGGTGGGTACGTTTGTTAGATTTTGCCTGTTGTAAAACTTTGCTGTATGAGAGACACTAGTAGCAAAAAGCGGACGGAAGATAAAAAAAAAAAAAAGAACGCATACCAACCATTTTAATCTAAAATCTCATCGCCATATAATGTTTTGCCTCATTAAAGAATTTGAGTGAGTCCTGGGATATTCACCCTTCAAATTCCAGCAGCCGTCCGGTTTTCTCCATGCTGTTTTAGTCTTATATCAAAATTTAAGCAAGGCAATCCGTCATTTTCACTATTCCACGCCAACCAGTTATTCTGACCAGTAGTTTGCAGTTCTGGTTCGGCCTACGCAATCTGGAGCATTTAGATGGCGAAATATCCCTTCCAGAAGCTAAGCTATGTATTAAAGAACAGGAGAATTTCGTTAGAACCAGAGAAATGAGTACTGAACTGATATTTAAAATCTGGCCTCCTATATGACAGGGAATGCTGGATAATGTCATCACAGATCAAGAACAAACCTGAAGCAATAGAAATATGTTTCAACAGAAGGATGCTGAGAATACCATGGACCGAACATGCACGCAACGTTGAAGTCTGAGAGAAATTGGAAACTAAAATGGAACTTATACTTAACATGAGAAAGGCAAGATTGAATTCCCTAGAGCAAATAAAGAGGAAAGACGGCTTGGAGAATTTGACACTCACAGGATATATTGAAGGCAAGACGGATATGCGAAAATATGACCTACCATACGAGCTTGTGTAAATAATTGTGGGTAACAGATTTTACGCGATAAAGCGAAAAGACAGAATTTACTAAGAGCTACAAAGGAGAGGAAAGTGTGGAGAGCCATGATCATCAACGTCCTGAAGGAATATGACACATGAAGAAGCAGAAGAAGAAATAACAAGGTTTAGGAGAGATAAATAAAAAACGGATTTGTTAAAAGCTACAAAGGAGAGGAAATTGTGGAGAGCCATGATCATCAACGTCCTGAAGGGACATGACATATAAAGAAGCAGAAGAAAAAATAACAAGGTTTAGTAGAGATAACATAAAACAGATTTGTTAAAAGCTACAAAGGAGAGGAAATTGTGGAGAGCCATGATCACCAACGTCCTGAAGGGACATGACATATAAAGGAACAGAAGAAAAAATAACAAGGTTTAGGAGAGGTATCATAAAACGGATTTGTTAAGAACTACAAAGGAGAGGAAATTGTGGAGAGCCGTGATGACCCCCATGTTGAAAGTAGAAGAAGAATTATCTCTGCCTCTGTATCGTGGGAAAATAGTTAATGGTTTTCATGACATAACGGTTAAGAGGGGCAAATAAGTTCGCCTACCGTCCGGTTCATACCTGTCCCGGTATTTTGAACAGCTTTATCTCTGTTCCGGTTCATTCTAAAGCAATGATTCCCAAACGTGGGGCGCATGCTCCACTGGTGGTGCATGGCAATATTTTGGTGGAGCATGCGTAGGATGTGCACCCTTCGGCTTACTATACAAACGTGAGCTCAAATTTCATTTTGCATTATTATTTCATGATTAAAATGATCAACGTATATTACAGAATAAACTTTCATTCAAATATTTTATATTTCTGCCTTTCAATTCTCTATTATATATTTTGAAACTATATATATATTTAACGGTCTTTTTGTTTTTTAAATTTTTTTTCTCTTTTATGGACGCCATGTTCTTTGGAGGCCATCTTTAGAGACCAAGTTAATGGCCTTTTAAGCTTTCTTCACGTGAATTGCAATAAAATTTTGAATATGTAAGAATTAAATATTAAAGAGGGCACCAGAATTTTAGAAATACCAAACTGGGGAATGGCCTAAAATCGGTTGGGAATCACTGCTATAATCTTAATCTCTTCAAGTCAATCATTATCTGACTTTCTTTTCCTCAACATCTTCATTTCCTACCACATCCGCTTTCATAGATTCATATCACACTCTTCATTCATCATAAGCCTTTTAGCAGTAACTCTACACAAGAATCTTAACCTCTTTTTTTAAAAGGTCAATAATTATCTATCCCCCTTATCCTCATAAGCATCACTTCTTTTCTCTTTCATGGATGCTATGGTTTTTTGAAGGCTTGTTTAGAGACCAAGTTAATGGCCTTTTTAAGCCTCCTTCACGTGAATTTTAGTAAAATTTTGAATATGCAAGAATTAAATATTATAGGGGTGGTGGCTCCAGAATTTTAGAAATACCAAAGTGGAGAATGGCCCAAAATCGGTTGGGAATCACTTTTCTAAAGTATTTTGATTTTGTTTTCCCCCACGTCTTAGTGATATTATCACCTAGCTTGCTTGATAAAAAAAATAGATCAGAATTCAATACCCGGATAATATGGACATACTAAAACGAGGCAGCAAGGCTTCTGATCGGGAGATTGGAAGTACTGATTATTACAGTCGTTCGGATTACGGTTTATATGTATTGTTGCTTATAAATACATATAAACATGTATTTATGAATATAAAATAACATAAAGAATGCAGACAATGTTTGAAGAATAGGACAAATTGTAAAACGTTTCATTGAAACTAGATTACGCGTTTCACCTTTCTAGGCTTCATCAGATCAAAAACAAAAAGAAAGAAATATGTATGTTCGTAATTGTGTGTATGCTTAAATAATAAACCGTTTAAACTGGCGTTTTTTGGAAAGGAAGAATGAAATTCTGCAACTTTTGTAAAAAAAAAAAAGATATTAATATTTATTCGCTATCTTTTCTTTATAATTTTCTTGTTGAAATTTATTTATAATTCTATGCATAGAATATAAGATAAATCCCCACCTTATTTTCAACAGCTTTAAGGCAAAAGATTTATATAACTTTTTCAAAAATCAATTTAAGGTAATCCCTTATCTAATTGTTAGAACAAAATCAAAAATAATATATATATATATATATATATATATATATATATATATTTAACATACAACGTGTGTTAGCACGTGCGATACCCTGTCTTCATCAGCCGCCAACCAGGGGTGATCTCACGGTTTCGGTGGCTATGGCGGGACCACCACCCCAGGCGCCACCAGCAGCATTTGCCACCAGGCAGGGTATGACAAAAAAAATAATTGATCGTTCCTCTTTGCAAATTCTTAATGAAATAAATAAAACGATTGTTCCTCTTTGCAGTTTCTGTCCGTAATGAAAGTTCCTGAACGCGTTTGCCGTTCTTGACGCGCTCGTAAAAATCGTTATAAACGGCTATGCAAATATTTCACCTGCGCATGTCAGGTCGTGATGATGCGCGCATAATATTTCAGCAATGTTTGATCGTAACTTTCCTTTCTAAATTTGTCGTCGATTTGGTCGTTTTTCATC